AGGTGATACAGGTTGAGTTGGCTAATATTCATATAGCTGCGAAGACCTGGGATGTTGAGTGGGACAAGAAGCACATCCGAAAAAATGTCGTAATTGCACGAACTTGTTAAGCGAATCTTTTCACGGCGACATGCCTCCGCCTCCATACAAGGAAGCACGATCATATTGAGGCCCTAGCTCATGAGCCATAGCAAAAAGAACGAGAAAACGTTACAGCGTTATGTTGCAATCATACTATCGACGCCTAACACAATATAGCAAAATGATTCACTCTCTCGAGGTAAGACTCTTTAACGGTATCGTTTCTGTGGTAATTCGGGAGGCAGAGCTTTTTTCCGTGAAGATTCTTTTACCTATCTACGCGTATTCTTATCCACCGGGTTGGTGGTAACTAACCTCTACACAAGCTGACAGGAATACATTTTTGATCCGGCATTGTCATTGTAGACATAACAAACGTTTCACAATTCCATTAAAATTAGTAGGTTGTCTCATACAGTAGAAATGTGCGTTTTTACTGAAACAAAAAAACATTGGGACCACTTGTTCCTTGTATATTAAGTAAGTTGCAATACCGGGTTTTCAAGAGAGAATTGTATGCCCTAGAGAGCTGCTAATTCGCTTTGTATTCGATTCAGGGATTTTAAATTACAGGCCTGCGATATGGGAGGTCCAGTCGACGAAAAATAGCTACACAGACAACCAGCCCTCACTCTATTTTGGTCTAGGGAAAAGCTTTCCACCACTAGCTTCTCTCGAGTTCGCGGTCGCTCCTAGATTTGCGTTTTTTCGCCAGAACTCGACGGTCAAGCACGATCACTGTAGAAAAGGTCTGTTGTCAAATAATTTTCACAGCGATACAGCTGAGCAACTAGTGGGACGTTGAGAACAAGTTGTATAAGTTAGGAATGTGTGCCCGGTTAATTTCTCATCTTCTCGACGAAAATTCTTTCCACTGTAGAGTTGATCATTTTTTGTTGAGCATGTAGATTACACGACGCAGAAATTATTTCCCACTGTAGTGTGGTCAGTTTCGAAGGCTATTACACCGTGTGTTATTCGCAGGCTGCTTTACAATTGAAACTTGAGTTGCACAGTACGAGAATAATAAAAACAAATAAATGACGAAATAGAAGCAGAAATGTCCACGCTGACATACCGCTTGACATAACAAAGCCCTCCGGGCGCTTTTCAGCAAGTAAGGCAAACTTTACAGTGATCTAGAAAGCACGCACCTACGGTTCTTATCGTCTCAACCTAAAAAAAAACCCAATTTTCAAAGAGAAACATGACAACGCTGTTCAGAGCAGAATGTTAAAAAGGTGTCCTGTATATCAGTAAAGCCTGCGCGTTACATAACATATGGTAAGATTAGTCGTAAAAGAAGGCTAGAGTCTGAGCAAGTTGTCGATCATTGCTGTTAATCTTGCCCGGGTCAGCTCTGCGACGACCGGCCCCTCCCAATTCTCGCCCGGCTCAGGCGTATAAAATTCGGAAAAACTTGATCACCAATTGCTGGTAAAGCGGTAATATAGCAACTTTGATAGAGCAGCAGATTCTCTTTCGAACGGTACTTAAGTCCATATAAAAAGTAGGATCTCAGCAGAAAGGTTTTTGTTTGAAAAAACCGACACTGCTTATAGGGACAACCTGAAATAAAGCGCAACATCCACCCCACGAGAAACTCTTATGACCCGAGATTTCAGCTTTTTATCGCCTTAATATTCCAAAAAAATGAGGAGGTCATAGAGGAGAGATCAGTGCATCAAGGCCGCCGAGATAAGAATCACCGCCGGATAATGAAAATGCAAATAGGCGATCGGCCGGCAAACAATCGGCCGTTGAAAGTGATTCCCTACGAACTCATCGCGCCGTGGAGAACATACGAAAGTTAGTACTTGCAACAGTGTTTCGTAACGTTGTTCGGAAGATTTGAACCATCTTTTCAGAGGTAATACCCATATTAAAGCTGATATCCATATGTGATACAGGGCGCGCCAAAATTGGATGGTATAGGTGGCCAAGTTTTTCGAGTGCCATAATAAACAGTGCCACAGTTCCCAAAAATTACCAATGCAGTAAGGTTCGCTGGTAACTTTGTGAATCAGAAACAATTACCAAGTCCCAATAATTCCTACGTTGGCTTTTACACAGAGCTTGAAAGGCATTGAAGAAGCGCCGACTGTCGCACGAAAGTGTAATGCATGAGCTCGCCCTGCCCATTCTAACGCTCATTCTAAGGAGATTTCCTCGATGAATGCGCAGACCGGTGAATTTCATGCAGGCCTTAGCTCCCATAATCGATCAGATACTGTAACCCATATGATTGAGACCGGAAGTATTGAGCTCCCCCTCGTTGAAGCTGATAAAGTGAGCAAAGTTGGCCACGCACCAGTCCTACACTACCCTGACCTCATGAGTGGGAACTTCTTCCTCCATCTCCAGCAGCAGTTTCCAGAAAGTACATAGACCCAGGATAGCAGTTCCATCATTGGAAAGTCCGTCAGCTCCGTCGTCTCAAATTGTCTTACTATTGCCTAGATCTCCCGACATTCGGTGAAGCGCCCGCGAATTCTATCGCATTCTTTCCTAAGATTGCTCGTGATAGTCACAGAAAAGTCTTTTCTATAAGTTGAACAGTTTTAGTCAGTTCCTAGTTCGTTGCAGCATTAGACGGATCTATGAATACTACCCTGATGTACACCAAGCTTTGATAGCATCTGCGCGCGGAAAATCCTTGACATTGAAGTTCGATGCTAAGGCCGATGTCATAGTTTGCGAATCGAGCGATTCGCTAGCGAATCGCTGGATCCGAGCGTTGCGCCAGCGAATCGAACGTTGCACCAGCGAATCGAACTTTGCGCCAGCGAATCGAACGATGCACCAGCGAGTCGAACTATGTACCAGCGAGTCGAACGATGTACCAGCGACTCGACACTGTTTGAAAGTGGCGGGACCCAACGTTAAAGGAAGTCCACTTCAAAGGACCACACTGTTTGAAAGTGGCGGGCCTTCCTTAAACGTTGGGTCCCGCCACTTTCAAACAGTGTTGAGTCGCTGGTACATAGTTCGACTCGCTGGTGCAACGTTCGATTCGCTGGCGCAACGCTCGGATCCAGCGATTCGCTAGCGAATCGCTCGATTCGCAAACTATGATCGGCCTAAGAACGGTTCCAATCTTGCTCGAACAACGTACCAATCAGAGATTTCGGTGGTCGAGTAAGATAGTATGAACAGGTTATCACAACAAAACCAAAAGTAGCTCAGGAAACAATAGCAGCTTTGAACTGGTGTTCAAAATGTTTGTACATGGGCTGTTGCAGTAATTTTGGTCCACCTGTAGAGCAGCTGTACTGTTATACGGCGAGAAACTCGAGGAGCACCTCCCTTGGTACTCGATTAATTCCCATTCGAAGTTTAGACGGGTGGGTACTGAACAAAGTAGCCGTGCTAACAAGTTCTTCCTGGGATAACCCATTCCATATCGAATTCAGCATCATGAACAATTTAAATCAGGGTCATGCGGTGCGTTGAGGAATCCTCGACTGTCGGCAGGGAGTGGGGGGGGGGGGTCGTCTTTGTCTGCTGAAGGAAAGGAATCGGGCTGGGTCGATGCATGATGTTTGTTTTTTGGATACCTGCGATAGCTCACAATTATTACCGGACTCCACAAAACACAAAAATCAGGAAGTGATCGATGCTGTGCAAGCTTGGCTGATGCCCATAATTTTGTGACACTCTGTATATCTCATTTCAATAGGTCGGATTGACCAAATAACCTTTCCTAGTGAGAACAAACAAAACCAAACTCAGGACTGCGGAGAAAAATCAAAGCCTGTGGTATTGACTTCCTGCTACTCAGAGGAAAAAAAAAGAATCCAAAATGAAGGATGTTAAAGCAACAGTCCCAGCAGGGTTTTTACCTTCGACACTAATGGTGTGGAACGATGCGCTAGCCCTAGTCAAGAACATAAGAAGTGTGACTGAACAAAAAACTCACCTTGGAAAGCCGCTAGAAAGGGAGCTGAACGGCTTCGAAGTGGGAGGGGATTGCAGCCGATTGCAACCACGCCCACTTCGAAGCGTTCAGCTCCCTTTCTAGCGGCTTTCCAAGGTGAGTTTTTGTTCAGTCACACTTTTTTATGTTCTTGACTAGGGCTAGCGCATCGTTCCACATTAGTGTCGAAGGTAAAAACCCTGCTGGGACTGTTGCCTTAAGTTCGCAATATCAGCAATATCGATCGAGACGTATTTGGTTGGGCAGGTGTCAGACTTTGCGAACAGCAATCGCAGCTCGCAGTCTGACGCCTGCCTTACCGGAAAAATTGGGAAGTGTCATTTATTAATCCAAATAGCTGCGTCCTGAAGAATGGAGATGACTAGAGTCAACTGTTCTCGTAACCGTGCTGATCAGAAGACTCCGTACACATCCCCTTCCCTCAGAAAGAATCAATGTTACTGGTACACTGTGTATAGTTTACGTCGTTCCCACCAATGATAGACACTTGCCATTAGCAAATAATTTATTCTGACTGATAAAACATTTCGCGGACAAACAGCGAAACAGGATGATCCTGGCACCATCGGGCTCGGCACCATTCACATCCGGGATCGCAGGTGTAGAAAGCTTTACCTATACTCAGTTGAGAAATACATGTGATATGCGAGCAATTATAGTACACTGAAGACACGCTTTTTTGAGCTACACATAAAATCTGATCATTTCGTAACAAAAACGTATTTTAGAAAAATAATGTGGAATATCTTCTAAGGGGGAAGGAAAAGTTGTGTACAACAGTGTATAAAACGATTTTCAAATGGAATGGTTCAGTTCAAATGATGAATAAAAAGCATAATTCACTAGATAAAGAATTAAAGTCAATCTGGGCATATTTAGGGGATACTCGGATTCCATTAAAAACATACTATAACAGGGAATTTCATTGAATTCGAAAATGATCACGAAGAGGCACTGTCGGAATCCGTTTCAACTGGTCTCCTCACTTGTGAGACTTCGATCCACGTTTGCCGAACAGAGAGAACCGCTTCTCTGAACGAGTAAACAATGTCATCGATCTAACCAAGTTTCGAAGGAAATCACTATGAAACTTACTTTCACTCTTTAACGATTCAGTGTCATGTTGTGATGTTGGTGTCATCGTTCGCGGCGTTGTTTGCTTCCCGTACGGCTGGTTATTCTCTACCCAGGAGATGAACTCTACACTTTCCGTCACACGTCCATCTCGGCCATGTGGCGGTGTTTCACGGGCGTATGTTGAGGTCGTGTGTTCTTGATATGTCAACGTATCCTGCAACAATCAAAGAGATCTCAGCCGAAGACAACTGCACTCAAAAAAAAGCCTATGGTGAATATTGCGCCTCGGTAAAAATAACTAGAAAGTACGAAAATTTTGGGCATGGTGTAGAGAAAAGGATAACACTCAAGGGTTATATTACGTGCCAGCATTTATAAGATGAGAGCGATAAGTGCTACTGCTTACTGGCACTTCGCAAAGAAGAGTGTTCTCAGAAAAAGTAAAACTTGCAAAAATATTTCATTGCCGAAAACGGCGTATTATCTCTTCTCCTTGTAAGAATACAACTGCTCTTATGTATAAGGAGATTCTGAAATACATAGCAAACTGGTATCAATGCGCTCAAAACAAACAAAAATGTGGTAATTGGTAGTAATTTCCACATGAAAAATACAAATGATTTCGGAAAACAATATTTTTCGCATTTTTGCGGTAGTTTTCATGACTATGCAGACCGGCGTAAAAAAAAACATGATCAACCACCCTTTTGCAAATCAATGAGAAACCGGCTTTCAATTGGCCGCTCAAAAAAGGTTTGGGGGAGTTTTCGCCAAAAAGACAAAAAAATAAGTGGTAATCTCTATTCCAAGCATCCTACCCTTATACTGACAGTTGAGCGGAAAACCCAATCACTGTCAACAGCGCCGACACTTCGTTTTCAGCGCGATACCAGTCGCCGTACACCAGCAAATCTCGCACATACATATCGAAATACAAATGAAAACTAACCGTATAACCGTTTGACGATGACGGAGGCACAGAAGCTGGCGACGTGAGAGAACTCGACACACCTCCTGAAGAGAAGATATCTCAAAAATGCTAAAGAATATTTCCAATTGTGCCACATAGTGGGAGATAACGGACACAGTATCAACGTCGTGGTTCACTTGTGGACAAATATTATGATTTGAGGTGCACTGTAATCGTGATCATTTGCATGTGTCTTCATCTTGACAAAAAGGTCTGCCCTTCAAGACAGTAATCCCTCAGTGTCACCAGGTATGGCACCTTTAGTGAGCGGGCTCGCGTACCTCACCAACATGCAGTGCCCCAGCCTACCTTGCCTGCTTTACAAACAAGTCCACATTGTACATCAAAATCAGGCAAGACTACTTGTATTTCCGCAAAAATTCAGATTTGCAGCAAATGCAGCGGCATAAAGGAACATACAACTGATGTGCAATCACAGACAATATATGTGATTTTGTGAAAGCTTATAAGCTTTGTGATGGCAGTGTATTGGTTTCCTCATGATGACGTCCAGTCCGAAACATCCAGTCAAATTCATAATCCTTTCACGCCCGACTGCGCGTAATCAATGCTCGTGTAGGGTTATTTTGGAGCGTGTTTGTGTTTCTCAATGAAAAGTGCATATTTTTACATGTGACGTTGCAGTGCAAGAACTTCCTTGGTGCTGAAGATACTTCTGAGTGATCCTTGGTGGTGTCCATGATTTCTTGAATGGTGTCAGTTAGTGTCCAACACGGTGCCAACAAATAACTGGCACACGAACCGTTAACTTCTACTGCTTCGACGACTTCCACTACTTCATCCATATCACCATAGATGCTCTCTGCGTAGATTGATTGCCGTCTGCTGGGACGTCGAGCTACCGTTGCTTTTCGAGGTTCAAAAAGGACCGGCATGTTCGATGAGGAGCTATTAAGCGAGTTGAAAGAGTCAACACGAATAGGTTGACCAGAACGAGCGCCTCGTGGAAGAGTTGAAGAAAGTCGAAAAGACGTCTCGACGGCTATCGAAGCTCCACGGGGAAGTGAATTGTATTCATTGTATACTGTAAAAATATTGACCTAGCAAAAGCAAAAGCAATGCTGCAACATTATCGCTTCATGCAATGAACTGATTCAATAAGAAAGATAGTGAAGAAATGTGAACTAGAAGAATACAAGCAGAGCAATTCTATAATCTTGTGAGTATCTGACCCTAAGTAATGATAAACCTTGAAACATTTTGTCATTCTATACCTAAGGACATGTTTCCCATTACAATTAAAACCTAAAGCCAATGACCACATTAACGCGTACTATAAGGATTTTCGAGTCTAGTCTGTCCTTACAGTACTTAAAAGTCTTTCGGGGTACATAAAAAATCGGTACCCGACAAGAGGCCCGTCGCGCGGCGAGAAGGCAGAGACGCAGACGGGTCAGCGGACGAGTCGCAGCGCGTACTGTAGTGATTTCGCGTCAAGTTAAATAGAATGTACTACAGTACGTCCCACATCGCACAGCACGCGCTGCGACTCGTCCGCAAACCTGCGTCTCTGCCTTCTCGCCCGCGACGGACCTCCTGTAGGGCACCGTAAAGCAAAAATAGAAATAAAGCGGTCTTTCTAGAATTGCTAAGTAAGTATAATTCCCTCCCAAACGTTAGAAACTTGGGGGAATTAGAGAAGCGCTTGATACCGAGTTCCATGCTCAAGACAAAAGGACGATCATCGGCTGACCAAAATTGAAATGTTACAAATTAAGAGTTGAACAATGGAATATGCCCCTGGAGGACATGAAACATCAGCATCTAGCGCCAGAAGGGAAAAAGCAAAATAACCCATAGTAATAGTCCGGTTACAGTTATAATAGTTGTGTCTACGGGGAACAGCTGCAGATGTGTGTATCTGAAGGAAGCGCAGGGATCAAGCAGCACCAAAGCGACCTGTGTACACGTCATGCTTCATGCACACATGCCACTACTCCCACGGCATCCACAATTATTTCAAACAAATAAATATTTTGCAAAATTTTTTGTTAATCAAAAAACTTACGTCCAGCGCTCGAACGAACTGCAGAGTTCTGCTGCGCACCATCGTAGGCATCAAAAGCCGATACTCGAGATATCGGACGGGAGGTATCGTCGCGAATGCTGCGACGCATTGGCATCGGAGGCAATTCGTCACTAGACCGTGAACCAGCGTCGTAACGTCGCATTGGCGGTAAAGGTGTTGCCTCTGCTGCTGCAAAATAACTTACTAACAAGAAAAACTTGCAAACCAAGAAATCAGCATTAGAAGCCGGCGACTGCCACATATTATAGTAAGCACACTTAAAGAAGCAACTAGTATTCTTGCCAAAGACCTCATCCCATGAAGATTGATCGAGACCATAAGAGAGCTCCAAAAACTTTTCTTAGTTATGTAGCTTCATATCTTACCATGGTATGCGTACGACTTCAGCTGGTTGCTAGGCGCGAGATCAGCGTGGAACTTCACTTTGGCCACCCATTCAAGCATTTGTCGCTCATCGCTGCAGGCAAAATATGTACTCGGCACCGTCCTGAGTTGCCAACCTGAACGACACGTGTTCTTTCGCACAATGTATAACGATCACATGTAAACCAAAACTGATTTGGTTCCCATAAAGTTGAAAAAGAAGTGCAAAAATAGGGAAATATACCTGAAAGCATGCTTTCGCTTGACGTATTCCGGGAACGGTTCACATCGTGCACCGTAAATGTATACAGGTGGTGCGGCGGCAATGTTCTCGTAGAATGAGGACTCGTCCTGAAGACATAATGTGCAAATCCAGAAGTTTATTTTCGATACAGTACACGGCAGCATGGTTTAATACTGACCTTGAAGAAACACATTAGCTGCCCGCATAGGATGGTATAATAATTTTTCCATGACCGTATCGTCGCTCGTTTACTTCCACTTTGCAGGTCCTGTTTTCGGTCAACGAAGCTGAAAAAGAAAAAAGTTAGGTAGCAGCGAACAAAATCTGAAACCTCACACTAACCCTCTCATATCAATGGCACCCAAGTCTTCCCAACGGCTTGTGCTGTTCCGGGAAACAGAGTGACCACGTCTGGTGGTGAACGATGGAGTCTTCCTCATATCGACATCACCGGCCGAAATGTGCGACGCATTCACGGCTGAGGCGACAACCGTCGATGGTCCTCCTACCACCACCGAATCACCTTTAACATGCACACTAATGATCTTGAGCGTTTTCACACATAATTAATAACTGAGCTCCATTGTGCTTCAGATTCAAACGTACCAACTGTCGTCGTTTTGCTTCGTTCTGCTCTATCTATTTTTCTCGGCAATGTTGAGCTTGAAAAATCATCGTTCGAACTTGGTCGAAGAAGGGAGATCTCCTGAAGTAGCACCCTTTGACCAACTCTTTTTTGATGACGTCACAACAAGGAGAAGATGAAATCGATGTCAAATAGGGTATGATGAATAAAACTGTTCGGCGGAAACAACAGATCTTCTAATGAGCATGGAAACTGCTCGAAAATTGCCTTGCTACGCAATAGATCTCATCCAGAAAACATGCCTGCGTCTTTCTTCGTTCTCTCTCCTGGCGTCGGTTGGCAAGAATTTGTCCCTTTTCAACAACCTTGATTGTATCACGACGCCTTTGGTCCTCCTCAGCAATACGAGATCGCTCAACCTAAATCGCACCACCACTCGTACTTGTAACCACTTTAACAGCGGGACTGCTTGGAGACAAACCTCCTTTCTTCTGAGCCGACTAAAGCTTTGTTCAATGAGGGTGAGACGTTTCACCATTTCACAACGATCTCCCTGCGCATCCAAGGTTACTAAGAAGTCGTCGAAGTCACGAAGATTAGCTTCAGCATTCTCGTAAGCTGATTCGGTGGCGCCAAGTCGTCACCTAAGGAGTTGATATGATTCACGAAGATTTAGAAATATTGTCAATGTCAACTGTTTCAAATAATAGTCAACTAAGCGAAAAAGGACGTACCAAGGAGCCGCTCGCGTTCAAGCAACCACTGCTCGAGCTGGGCAGCATTCTGTTTCCATCTTTGGCAATCAAGATTTTCGTTGTACAGCTCATTACGGTCCTTCCAAACTTCGCATAGCACAGCCCAAGAGCGCTCAAGATTTTCAACCTGAACATGAAGATGAAAAAATTCCATGCTTAAATAACAAAAAAGTGAAAAGAAAGAACAACACTACTCGCCCTCGTCCTTACATAAACTCAATTTTACCTTACAAAAGTATGACCACTTCTATGAAAAATAACTCCAAACACTGTACCTTTTCATTGATCTCTTGTGACAACACATGCCCTCCTTGGATCATGTGTTTACCCTGACGAGTGAATTCATCGATATGCGGCTTACGGCCTTGCATCTGTAATGAAAAGCTCATTCATTACATGCATCAAGGAGAGAAGTCAATCTGAGGAAACACCCAGGTTTACAAGCAAAAATGATTGAAAGTAATCTTTCAATTTAGCGACAAAAAATTCCCCAGCGCACCTCGAGGTTGTACTCATCATGACGTCGCGCCAAAGCTTCACATCCAATGACATCACGTGGAAGCTGCTCGGAAGTCATCGCTGTCTGCATTCGCTTCATCCATTGCATTAGTTCACGGTACTCCTGCAATGAAATTAAACTTGCAACGGTCCATAACAAACGTGTCACGTAACGCTTCAATAATGTATAGGCTAACCTGGAAGTAGGACTGCAGACTTTCCATTTGCTGAAGTCGTTCATGGTGTCTTCGCGTTCCTTCGAGGATATCCTTCAGCTGTTCTTCCATATCCATTTTGCGCACTTCAAGGTGTTCACGGGTATTGGGGAATGCAGTCCACAATCTTTCAGCTTCACGACAAAGTTCGGCCACCTAACACAAGCGATTACATTACGCTAGCTAACAAGTCGATCAGTATTTTTCCGCCCCACATTCACAACGTGAGCCCTGACTTCTCAATTCTAGGCTGACACGCCTGGCTGGCGAACCAAGGTGCAAGAAACGAACAACTCCATAACATGTGATAGCACCGACCTGCTTCTCTACAGCTCGCATTCCATGTACGAACTCTTCATGCCGCTGCATTTGAATCTTTATAGTGGCGAGGTCCGGCATGCTAAGTCAGGCTCGTTTTCACACATTGCAACTCAGTCGCCTCTTTGTCCTATAATGACATTTAGATGAGAAGATAGCGAAGAAGGAAGAGTTCTACATTGAACTCTCAAGTTAACAGACACTGTGTGCAAACCTGAAGCCAGTTGAGAGTTTCATCAGCTTCTTGATCAAATCTGTGCACTTGACGAGCACCAGCCAAAGCTTGCTGTCGCTCAGTAGCTGCCTCGTTGACGGATGTCCAGAGACTTTGCAGATCCGTTCCTTTAGCGCGGATTGATGCAGCATATGGATGCCCTTAGAAAAAGTGCATATTATTATAAAAAAGCGAATGATACGCAAAAATCAGAAAATTCAATATTGTTGGGAGCCACTCTTTTAGAAACTCGGTAATTTCAAAACAAAAAAGTTGTGCTTACCACTTCTCAGTAGCTCCTCCTGTGTTCGCTGGACACCAGCAACGCGTTCACCGGCAGCTGCCAGCTCCCTAACGACAGTTTCAAACTTCTCGGGTAGAGTTGCACGCAGTCTTCTAATCTCGGACCGTAATCCTCGGAAGAAGCCAGCTGTAACGATAAGACATATTTGCTTAAGTGCATTCATCTGCTACGCTTTTTTTCCGCACACAATAGTTTGGATCAGATAATGGTAAGTGTGCAAGAGCATTTTAAACAATAATTAAAACGTACGTGTTCTTTTTCATGGAGCCAATCGGACAGGTCATCGACTTGACGAACGAATCTATGATAACGACCTGCATCTACTAGCTGCGTACGCCTTCTATTGCATTCGTTCACTAGGTCAGAATATGCAGTCTCCAGCTTCGCCTGACGTGCAGCGATCTGAAAATAGACCACACCTCACGACTGCTTTCCAGAAAATAAAGACCCTTTTTCGTCTAAAATCAAAACCACGGAATCGTTATTTTAGTTTGTCACATGGCTGCATTAAGAGAAAAGGGACAGCTAGGAATCACCTGATTTGCATCTATGGTCTTGTAACGAATCGCAGCGAGCACGTAATCTATCCAACTCCTTTTTGAACTGAGCCACCTGCAAATTCAATCCATTTTATTTCTGCAGAATCACATTCGTAAAATTGTGGTGTTCTCACCTCCTTATCCAGCACAGTTAACCGCCTTAGGTATCCTTCGGCCGACGCTTGGTCGCGACCGGTTTCCTGATTAATGGCGACAAGCATTTGATCCTAAAATTGAGCATAAGACACCGTACAAAGCAAGACGAAATTCACTCATAGGGAAGCAGCTTTCAGGAGCCAAACATTCACTATCGAAAGGGCGAAATCTCACTTTTATCCACTGTTCTGCCTCAGCCGCCTCTGTGTAGTACTCGTGGCTGTCCACAGCGTGCTGAAGTCGGGCTCGTCGAACGGAGGCAGCATCCTGAGATGTTTATTATTGATGGAAAAATAAACAAGATTACATCAACCAATAGGCATACCTTGACTGACAACAACGCTGATGTAAGGCTGTCGATCATCTTTTCTATCTGAGGAGCGGCAAAGTGCTTCGCTCGCACCATTGCCAAACCCTTAGACTCGATTTCATGGATACCAGCCTAAACATTCACTATTTGCGTCGGCATGGGAGAAATTTTGAGAAAACTCACCTGACGCGATTCCAATTCTTTTTCCAATGCCATATGTTTCTTTTGCAGACTATGAGCAGCATGGAGACTGTCACCACACTCTTGGCTTCGTGCCAGCGGCAGCCTATCCGCAAGCCATTCGAGCTCTTCTTCAGCACACGCCGTCCACTCGTACAATGCATGGGCATCACGCAAGTTTTCCCTTGAAAAATAGAGTCGGTTTTATAATTACAGTAAAAAATCATTGATATCACTAGATCTTACCGTCTTATCAGTACTGGCTCATTGAGCGATGAGAACCTCGCATCTACTTGTTCAGCAGCGCCAAGAATTGCATCCGACGTTGGTGACCCAAGTGTCTTGATCTCGCGTGCTTTCTGCATTAGATCATGTACAGCTTCAGCTCGCCCCTAAAAAATATTCGGATCGTGCTCGGACTCAACACTTGACGTCCAATGCATAATTCGTTTTTAAATAATCTTGATACTCTCCAAATTAAAAAAAAGACTACAGGTCAAAAACTCACTCGTATCTCGGCATCAGAGCGCAACTTCTCATAAGATATTTCAACAGAACCCAAATCGCGGCCGTGGTCATCAGAGCCTAGCTCGCTTTCAATCTTAAATACAACAAATAAAATACAATAAAAAAAGGTACTAGATGATAAAAACAAGCCTCACATGCTAATTAAATAAAGAGAACAATACAAGACAATACAGAGACAATTAGAATTCAACACTTACCCTATCAAGCCATCTCTCCATATCTTCGACTTTACGCTGCAGGGTGTGGGCTTCATATGCCTCGCGAAGTCGCTGCGTTTTCAGCGCGGACTTTGTGCGTAGTTCATCCCAACCACTTCGAAGTTCCCCAAGTTGAGCACGAACCTGGATTTCAGACAAGTAGAGAATTTATGCCAAGACATAAAATCATGTTAACTGACTTCTGCCAGACATTAGATATACTCAGTATACGGTATACAACAGTATACAACACCATATTTTAGTTCGATTCACTTAATTGTCACTAAATCATGACCTAACCAGCTGGACCAGCTCCATACAAGGTCATCCTTACCTGCTCACTCATGAAATGCCGCTCTTTTATCAGTTGTTCTCCTTGTGCTTCAACAGCAACAAGACGTTTTTCGTTTTCCGTCAGCTCGGAATCAAATGCGAGATGCTTTTGAAGCTTGGAACGAAGATTGGTAGGATCGAGATATGATTCATCGTAAGCAAGCTGGAACAAACCGATTAGAAGTAACAGACTATCGATGAATACTCGACGCAGGTCAAGATGACCGTAGATAAACTCCTCACTTGCAACTTGGCGTTGATCCAAGTAATCAATTCGCCACAAGTTCTTATAAATTCATGGTACTTCTTGCTATCACAAAGAAGTCCGCGACGTTTAGCTGCTGAATCGAGCATCGCGGCGTGGCGCTGCATGACTTCTTCACATCTGAAGCATCACTCTACATTTCTTAGTTCGCGAACAAGTCTTCAAAATCTAAGGACCAACCTTGCTTCGACATCTCCACGGTATTCGTTATCACTCGTGATAAGCTTAGCAGCATCTGCTTTTAAATTCTCAAGCTTCTCGCTCTGTTTTCGCACCGTCTCTTCGAATGCATCATGTGATTTGATGAGCATCTGAAGTGAATACATGAAATATGCTGAACAAATTCACAACGTATTTTTGAACTATATCTATTTAAAAAAAACACTCCAACTTTTTTGCTTCTCTCCATTTCCATAAAAAGTCAGTCTTGAAAAAGAATGGAAAGTGTTCAGAATCCCACCTGAACAACATCAGGGGCGTCACCGATATCTCCTTGTTTGAGAAGATTTTCTTTGTCTGCAAGCCATCTTTCGCACATCGCGGCCTGGTCACACCACTGCAGCCATTCCAGCATGCGTTGGAGGGAGGCCTAAAAATTTCATCACTACTTTTCAGACTTGGGTCAGACTTACTAATGGTAAAGCCAGTTTCCTATAAAACAATCAGCTCACTTTCTCTGCCTCCCATTGTCTGTCTCAGTTGATGTTCAGAGTTCTGAACGCGCTTGTGGGCGCGCTGCACCTCCGGTTTATGCTCTGGCTGTTCCGAGATAAGTCGTTGCCCCTCATCATGCAGCACATGAAGCTCATCCTTAAAGAACCAATTGAAAGCCTAAGATTCATACAGCATAGCTTCTCATCGCAAATCGCACCTGGCGACCGTCGATTTCGGCTCGACGTTCAGCATGTTGTGCAATTAGCTGCTCAGCTTCAGCGCTCGTCTTTGGCTGCTGGTACGACGTCATTTTGTTCCGAAGTTGTGCCGCCCACTGTTCTGCCTTCTTTACTTGGTCGATGTACTTGTAGAGCTTGTATCTTAAAAATGAGCCACACATTGATGTTTACAGAAGTAGCAAAAATAGAAACTAGTTTGATTCGCACATGTAAACCTTCAGCTTATAACAGGAAGCAAATATTAATAAAATATTATTATGAACTCACGATTTATCCAAATTTTCATTTCGCAATTCAGCTGCTTGGCTCAGTTCCTTCCAGCTTTCTTCCAGCTTTTTCAAGGAATCCAAGATAGTGTGCTTCAGTGGAGGTTTCTAAACAAATCACATATCTTCTAATAGAAAAATAGGAAGACAGAAGATAAAGTAGAAGACTAAACTTCAAGCAACGTACGAAAGAGACAATAAAGACGAAGGAACTACCTTAGCAAGAATATTCTGAGCATCTTTATCGTGAGCAATGAGCTTCTGATGGAATAGCACTCATATCACGCTCGAGAGCAGTCTGCTTTCGTAACAGCGCATCAACTCTGAAATCAAACTTTTTAGATAGTTCAGTCGCGCTTTGAATAGTTTCGAATAAGAGGGGCAATCTGCAGTCAGCTTCGAAATGTTGAAAGAGGCCGCTACGAAAACTTGGCGGAACCACTTTCATTATCCCATCACAATGTTTTCTACCCTAACTTCTTCAATCAGTATAATGATAATCACTCACGTCGCAAAATCTCTTCCATAGTCGTCGCTTCGCATTGCAGCAATCTTCTCATGGATTCTCTCGTTAGTATCATCAACATCACGGTTGAATGCATGAACCTCCAGGGCAGCGGCGAGTTCACGTCGGTATGCTGCTAGTTTCCCGTGGAGTGAATTCCATGTGTGATTCAAGTTCTGCTGTTGTTGTTGCACTTCTTCACGGCTGGTTCTTCCTTGTCCAATCAGTTTTTCGCCAAGACGATTGATTTGTTCGAGCGTCTGCTCATCCACTGACGAGTCCGCCTTGGTGCCGTCAAGTCTTGAAAAGTTGCAACATATTGGAAAGAATAAACTGAGCAAAAGTCAAATTTTGAAGAAGCAAAACTCCACACAACATACCGGTCAATCAACAGTTTGCAGTGTTCTAGGTCGCGTCCCATTTCCTCCTGCAGTCACCATCAACTCTCGCTCATGAGCCCACGACATCACACGATCAACCTTAATCCAGGGAAACATTTCTTAGAAGTAAAACACACACTTCCACAGAGAACAACTGAAACCATTGGACTACAAATATTTGAAAATACTATGAAACTGACCAACTGCCTGAACGTAAGCAAATCTCTAGCTTCCTCCAAGGCACGTGACTGCTCAGCGCAAGCTTCTACAAGAGTCATCCAACGACTGTATAGACCATCACAACGAGAAGTAATCTACAAATATATATTATTCATATTCACACTCACACGGCTCTCCGTTCATGGACTTCTCTGAAAAATCATCAAAATCAAAAATCAGAAGAAAAATATTCGCAGTGTTGAAGCGACTCACCCCTGCATCTCTGTGCTTTGCATGAAGTTCTTTTCCTCTTTGGAGTACTTGATCGACACGATTTCGATTTGCCGCTAATTCTGCTTCGAGAGCCTGATGTTTCTGGAGACGTTTCATCTTGTCCTCGATCGAACTGCACTGTCCTTGGCGCTCTTTTTCGAGTCGAATTCTAAAAAAACTTCGAGGTTGGATCAAGTAAATCACAGTCACGCAAGTAAGTGGAGTGACAGCATTCAGATCAACACTTAACAAAACAATAACGAACCCTTTGAGCTTTTCGTCAATCCACGCTTCGGTATCAGCCACATCGCGATCAAACGCTGCCACCATGAATGCGTCATTAAGAACGAGGGATCTTTGTTCAACATCGCGATGTAGGAGTGACAGAGCATCATGAACCTTGAACAAAATGTTGGAAAAATTATTCATTTGAACATTTATAAAGATCTCATGATAACTTGGAATTATTGATTCGAATGGTACTCAAAGTGATCCAACTAACAGAAGCACAGACTAATAAAAATGATACTTACCTTTTTCCTAGACAACTCGATGTTGTTCTTTTCCATGTGGTTGTTTGCAATCAGTTCGTTCGCGGTACGATCAAGTAACTGAATTTCTTCGTTAAATAATAGTAAGATGTTGGCGTTTAATAACGCAATCAACAATTACCTTAGTCCTCTCGTCCAAGGTCGATAATGCCTTTGCGAACGTATCTAAACGTTTTTCTTGGCTGGCCTTCCACATCAGCAACACTACCTCCAACCGCCAGCTGTCTGAAGTTGACTAATCGTAACATTATCACAAGAAAAGGCGCAGCAAAAAAATTGTTTGGCTAGCATCAGCAAGCTTCATCTTTTTATCATATTACAGCCATACTTACCGCAACGTTGCTCTTTTACTGGCGATCAGAGTGAGAATCTGATTTGCTTCTTGTTGAGAGCATGCCATTGCACCAACTGGACCAGATAACTGTCACGAAGATCCCATTCAGATCGAAGACGATCAAATGCAGTATTAACCTAAACAGCACGCTATAAAGTGAATAGGAGATTCAATGCGGGAGGATTTTACTCGCGCACCATTCAACTACTAGAATGCACCAACTGAACCAATGTCAACGACAAAAGAATAAATTTAGAAGGCGGCAAATATTTATGTTGGAGTTCAGAAAGTACGAGCTGGACATGAACGACAGAAGTAACCCTCAGTGCAGAACATATAATGATGATGCTTACGCTGATGGACTTTCTTGCATGTGTGCGAGTCAAAATGACCCTCGTTGGATCATCGCCTCACCAGACTGTTTCACTTTCTCAAATTCAGGAGCTCGCGCTGTAATTTCACCGCGAAGACGAGAGTGCTCCTTCTGAAGTCCTTCGGCCTGTTGTAAACCATTAACCTAAATATTTTGGTTTGAAAAACCGAACATAAGAATCATCTAATCTCTTCTAAGACAAACCTGCATCTCCGACTGCATGTCAGCAATCGTAATATCAGCCCATGCGAGGAGATCTCGAACGTCAGCATTGAAACTAAAACGCACAGTGCTATGCGACCAGAGCTAATGTCATCACGCGAAAAAATTTAGTCTGTGTCGTCAAGAAAATACTTAGATATTTGAGCTTCTGACGAGTCCCTTATCGATTTTTATAATTTGTTTCTCAGATTGGAAAAAAAACGCTAAATAGCGCGACTGGGAGATTTAACACTTGTAGAGAACATGACTCGATGAAGCTTGCATTAGCGTTATTACACTGCTCCGATGCTATCTCTTGCAGCACGTAGCTCATCTCGGCCTTCCATCAATAGGCATGGAGGGCAACTCCTGCAGCTCTCGGCTAGTTCACTTTTTTTTTTTTTTTTTTTTTTGCCCCCCCTTTGGCTTTGAGGCAATGTGTTCAGCATTTCCTCCCGGATACGCTTCTTTTAGGCGAGCTGACTCTGCCAGAAGTTTCTGCAAAAAGCCATTTTCAAACGAAAAATGAACCTCGTAGAGAAAAACACTGGCTACCGAACATTTCGCAAGGCTTATTTGTTTTCGATTGTTTATACCCTCGTTTAAAGAACGTTCTGCATAAATTGCCTTGTCACTAACCTGCAATTGCGGCTCCATACCCGCCACTTCTTTCTCAAGTGTCTCATGTTTCTGACTTAATGACTTCGCCTGAAAATATTTTTCCTTCAATCAAAATTCTGCAATAAATCCTCAACTGAAGCATTACCTGCTGCATATTTCTTCCTTTATCACGAGACATATTAGCTCTTTTATCTGCAACCCATTCTTCGTGTTCAAGAACGTCCTGATTGAAACGGTGAAGCTCTTCAGCTGCAGCCAGTTTCGATTCTCTTGACTCGATATAATCCAAGAGGAGAGTCCAGACCTGAATTTCCAGCGCGAATACATGAAAGTTCCTATTAACGGAGTATAAACCCTTACCGATCTCAATTTCTCCTGCTTTTTGAGAATGTCTCGACCAAAAGGCGGATTTCTTCTCAAGAGAGCATTGGCGGCCGCCTCACATGATACAAACCGTTCGCTGCCGGTTTTCACACTCTGTTTGAATTCTTCGAAACGTGACTGCAGCTCCTGGAATAGAAAACGTTTTGATGAGAGCATATGCTATGTACAGAGAAAAGCTGTAGAGTTGCTTACCTTGAAATGCTCGTAATCATCTCCGTATTCCTCGCTCATTGCGGTTTGGAGTTGCTCGTTAATCCATTGTTCGAGATCAGCACTTTCGCGCATGTATTCGAACAGATGTACGGTATCCTCCAGGGCACGGACGACGCTCTTCCAGCTGTAAGATGTTGCCAAATAGAACATTTCTCAAGAATTAGACAGTCTTTTCTCATTGAACGCAACTAACCCAAACGGCTAAGACGATCGAATTCGGTTTCCAACTCTTTCTGCCTGATATCAAAACGCTCCACATTCGGGCGGCGTGAATCGATCAACTCAGTACATTTGATAGCGAGTTTATCGAGCCATCTGAAAAAAGGTTTGTCAACATCATAAGAAACTTCACTACAGTAAACGTTTTCCTCACAAAGGAGTCCTCAAAAACCACTTATTTACTTACTGTCTGTATGTTTGCATGTCATTCTGCAGGGCCCTGTGTTTTGCCAGCAGTTTCTGAGCTGCATCTTCATCCTGTCCATAGTTGTCCGACTCCAATGCAGCGCGTTTCTCATTCATCCATGATTCAACCTGAAAGACGTATATTATTTGTGTGCAGGACTACTTGCGATACTGCGGGCAAAGGTATAACTAGCAATGAAAGGCGTGCTTGGATCGAGTTGAGGCGAACAAAGCGGAAGTCAGGATGCCCACTGAGCGGTAGCGTGGCGGAAGCGCCACAATTACCACCATCGTGTGTCTCAAGCACTACAGGCTCAGAGTGACGGTGAGCCAATCACTAATTCGTAACCTATTTAGAGCGCGTAGCGGCGGTGAGCTTGATGGCGGCAACACTCATAAAACTTTTGATTGAATAGCGATGAGTTGGTTCTACGCGCTGCGCTATCGGTCACTATGCTAACAAGGTTTACGCCTTTGAATAAATGAGGAATAGAAAAGAATCTGCCGTTTTTTGCTTGACAATTTTGGTATATACTGAAAGTGCGCCAACCAGGAATGGCTTATCACGTCTAATTGTAAAAGATAAAGTAAAAAAAAAGAATATGAACCTCGGCCGCATCAAACATGTACTGTTGCTCCTTCACACCCCAATCGACCACTTTGACGGCACGTCTCTTGACCAACTTCGTATAACTTCGTCCACGCTGCCAGCCAGCTACAAACGAAAACTATGGCTGATACAACAGATCTCCCTACAGTAAACTACTGTCGATATCCGAAAGTTGGAGTAGGCGTGTCACCGGAAGTGACATGCACTTTGATAGAAGTTGCGTGAGTAACTCAACAGTATAAAAGAAAAAAAATAAACAGTTTTGCGGCTTGCCAACCGCTGATATCCAGCGATGCATGTTGGAAGCAGCTTATGCACATAGCTTCTATCAAGTGACACGTCACTCCAGTGCCTCGACCCACTCACCTCAAATTTCGGATACCGAGTATACACTCACAGCACACTACATAGCGGAACTACTCTAGAGAAATCTAGGTGATAATGAATATCTAATTTCACACACAACAATTCATATTTTACCTCTTCTGGTACATTACTCGAACTTGACTGGAATTAAGAATGAAATTTCATGAATTATAACAGTAATGTAGAATAAAAATACTACCTGCTCGCACTTGGCCTTGATTTGCGGAGCAGCGTTATGTCCGCCTCGGATCAGAGCTTCACCTTGAGCGATGGTCGCTTCAATATGACTCGAATGTTGATGAACTTCGGCTTCAAGTTGGTCTTGCTTCTTCACCATATTTAACGCCTCGGTCAAATTGCGCCCAGTATCTTCAGAACATGCAATGGGTTTCTGAAAGCAAAGAAGAAAATATTACTGCAGACTGCTCCACCACCGTTCTTTCTGTTCAGCAGTAAATGTGTGCATATTGCAAGCAAAACACTAATCACCAACCTTCTCAGCGATCCACTGCAATTCACAGTCAACATCGAATGCTAGCTGATGCCACTTCCTGGACTCCTCCAGAGCCGCCCTTCTAGCAGCTGATGGTCCTTCTAAGCCCTCAAATCTGTAAGAATTGATTGGAGGAGATCAAGGGTCTCAGAAGAATACGGTTAAACCTAGATGAATATAAAATTATTTCGTGCAAACCTTTTCAGCAGCGCTGCGACAGTATAGTTTATCCTTTCGGAATCAAAATGTCCCTGCTCAGCCATTTTGCGGCCTCGGTTGTAAATGTCAGCCAGCTAAACACACTAGTTTACCCCAATTTGAAGTTTGGATAAGATTCATCCTATCTCCCGCACTACTTATGAAATTGCCCGTATCAGCAATATAATCATACAAAATGACTCACCCTTTTCTCGTAAAGTCCCATTTCTTGCTCCAAAACTGAGTGTTTCTGAATGAGATCCTTGACTGCCCTGAGGTCTGAACCTAGCTCATCCGATTTAAGAGCGGTTTCTAGCTCATCTAGTTTGGCGTGAGCATCTTCGAGAATGCGATTCAGACCCTAAAACTAATCATAATAAGTGAGAAAAAAGAATTCACGCGTAACGCTATGGAGCGTCTCTGTGAGAAACAAGAACTGCTCTGATTCCCACCTTCTGGTCAGCTGCTTGACGCAGTTTTTCGCCCTTACGACCGACAGCATCGCGCAACTCCGCCCATTCGGTATTCAGGCGCTTCAGAAGGCGGTCCACATTCGCAGACTCATAGTGCTTCTGGTTAATCAGTATTCCACCGACCTAGAAATCAAACGATCACTAAGCGCCACCAGTAACCCAAAAGAAATCAGCAATATTCTCTTTTCAAAAGAATATGCTAAGCGATATCAACCGTTATTTACCCGATTGATTTGACCAACTCTCGATGCATTGGCTCCTACTTCAGCTTCGAACGCTTCATGCTTCAGCAATTTGTTAGCGATCGAGGTCAGATCCCGATGAGAGTCATCATTGGCCAGCTGTAATAAATAATAGTACTGTCTTGCGATACGAACTTTTCCAAACATGCCTATAGAGAACTCTTCCGAAAACACCATCCAAGGACTCAGATTACCAGAAAACCTTTGGTTCACAAATTCGGTACAGCACTAGCTTCAAAAAACTACGCAACAGTCAGCCACTGCTTCACCTCAGTGAACGAGCATAAAAAGTTACCATATACCTACCCTTTTCTTCTCATGGATCCATGCAATCATTTCTTCAGCGTCTCTCTTCATATTCTGGTATTCAAGCGATGCCTCTAGGCAAGCTCGACGTTCGGCTGCCATTCGGCGCACAGCGGCGCGGCGTGCCAGAACCTCGCCTCTTCGCTATAAATCTTAGTTAGAAACATTGAAAGATCGAAAAAATATCGGATGTAAACAACATGTCACCGGACAATGGAGACAGATAGCGAAAACCACTAAGTGAAAAAAATCTTCAAAGCGCACCCCATCTATGTAAGGACTCTCGGAATGTCGGTTTCTTAATGAGTTCATCGGCGTTCTTGGAGAAAGCATTTAGACGTCCTTCTTGAGCGTCCAATTTCGCTTCAAGATCACGATGACGTTTCAGAAGGTTCTCCACGGATTCCACCGAGTCTAGAGAAGCACAAATAATGTAATAGATGAACAGATGAGCGTTAGTCGACTGACATGAAGAGGGTTTTTAACACTCACTCCCAAATCAGCATAATCAAGGAAAGCTTCGTGACCCTTGGTGGCAGCATCGATTCGTTCGGCTTCACGATTGAATAGCTGAAGGTCAAGCTGCTCCTTCAGCTGACCATCACGTGATCGGTACATGTTCTGCAATATGATTGGCTGAACGATGGTGAAGCAGTGATCTTGAGCTTCTTAAACTTGAGACGGAAAGTATCTTCTTATATAAACTCCACATAAACAATATGTTGATTCCACCAATCTGCACTTTCCAAATTCAACTTAAGTTCACCTTAATACAGACTAATAGATCTCAAACTATACACTTGCTCGTTGTTTGAACTCACTTCAGTGTAACACTAGCTGGTTTGTCACTTCACAAGAAATGAAATAACAACATCAGCTCACCTTAACTACATTAATCTCATTAGCAAGATGCTTAAGCTGAGCGTCAACTTCACGAAGACGTGGATTTTTGTCCAATAAACGGCGTCCGAGCTCTTGCACGTAGTCCACCTGGAAATTCACTATGATGATCACAACCACCTATTTCTGCTGAAGTATCACGCAAACATGCCTCATATTTCTTGTCCATAATTTGCTCTCCGAGTTCGTAATGTTTCTTAAGGAGTTCTTCAGCTTGTTGGACATCTACTGCACGAACATCTTCGGCGAGCACTTTCTTTGTACGGTCTATCCAAATGAGCACATCCCGCAATGCCGTTTCGAACATTTCCTGCCCTGAATAAAGAAACAAGTGTATGCTTATTAGCGCCCAGACACTGATGCAGGTCCGTTTGAGGAATTTGAGCTATTCCCTCAAATTCACAGATAAATTCACAATACATCACATTCAAAAGAAATCACCTTGGGACTGCTCAGCAATCTTAATCTTTTCATGAGCTCTTCGAAGAAGATCGGCATGCAATGCACGCAGCTCGGCGATTTTACGTTCGATCGCGGCAGCTTCCTCTGGATTCTTCTTTTTCACCTAAAACACCTTTTTGGACAGTATCGCTCTGAAGGAGTTTATTCTTCCAGCTTTACCTCAGCCGCAAGTTTTTCCAAATAGTGAATCTTGTCTTCAAGCGGCTTCAGGTCACGTTCCAGATTTTGCAGGCTCTTCAAGTCGTTCGGATTCCGATCGAGTAGATCGAACTTACCCTGAAAATTAAGAGGATAACACAAAGACACTCATTAAAATGTGGCGTAAGTCACAAATACAGAAGTTCGCTTCCAGCCGAACAGCAAAATTTAACCCCGCTAACAAAATGTAGTACTTACTTGTGGTCGGAAAATTCAAATTTGATAAGTCGACAAACCTGCATCCATTCTCTGGCGTCCTCGCATGACGAATCGAAATCAGCAACTCTCTCGGTTGTTTCGAGTTTAGCAGCTCGGTTAGCACGTAAACGCTCTAATTCAGCCCATAAAGCATTCACCTGAAGCAATGACATTCAACAATCATGAAGTACCACTCAAATCAACACCAAAGAAAATTCCTCACCTTCCTCTGGCGTGCCTCGATCTGCCTTGATTGGCTGTGTCCTTCACCAATTAATTCGTCAGCCATTACATTAATATGCTTCAACTGGGTGCCTCCAATTGCCTTCATGTCCGCTTCGAGGCGATCAAATTTCTTGCGGAACGCTTTGACATGCTCCACTGAGGGCTGATCCGCAAGCGCAGCTTCAGTTTCGCGAGCCCAACCCTCGAACTCATCACACTCACGGTAGAACCTTAAATGCAACCGTTGGCCAAAGCTTGGGATGTTTAGGACTTCGTCACTTCAAGGTACAACGGGACCAATTCCCTCAAGCTCGAAATTGGGCTGCCCGTTCAAGAAAAAGAAGCAACCAAACGATACCTCATCAATTTGATATTGTCGGAAAGTAGACGCCGTCGGACCTCTGCCAAACTATTTAACTGTCGGTAATCCGAGGAGATCATCTTCTGACGATCGACAATAGCACGCTTGCTATCCACAACGTCGGTATGTGCTTTCGTTGTTGTTGTTGTCTGCGTGACAGTCACCTGAAAAGCATTACAGATTCACCTATGAGCAGCACTGTCAAGATAAAACACTCCCAAAAACAGATGAGAATTATATTAGGGCTGAGCCATAAGATACATGTCCTGCTCTTCGAACCCTTGTCATTTTTGCCAAAATATTGTATAAATGTTGTTTGTACAGTTCCCGCGCAGAGATGCGGTTTTGTGAGGAAAGCTGGGACGAGCCTATCCATTACGCAACAGAAACCGCCGTACCCTGAAACTCTAGAATGTACCGGAACCGTCCGTTTCAAGGCGTGTTCACCACTGATGCCTTGCAAATCCCTTCTGAAACCTCATCGAGACTAGCTTTTAGGGATGTAACTGCAATGACCGAGATCGAAGCGAAAAAAGGCCCTATCGAGAATGGCTCCAGAAATTTCGAAAGAGCAACTCCAGCTTAGAGACTGAGCAATTCAGCTGGGGCGCTCGCTACTTTTAGAAGTCGTTCTTCTATTTGCCCAGCTGGCGCTGGACTTGGTGACAAGCAGCTGCGCCCAGACAAGCCACAGTCCGCACCATCCCGAGTATGAACTTATGAAGCCTCGATAGCATTGGCAGTTTCACAAATGAATGGCCAAAAATAGCCATGGCAATTCTTGCATGGAATTTGCTCGAATGCAACCAATAATTTGGTCGTCTACTTGGAGAAAAAAAAAGAAGTAAAAATATGTTGTCATGAGTGGAGTACAGTTACCATAGCAGCAAACATGAGACATACCAATTCTCCTGGTACTTTTCTACAGTAATTCGCCGGAACGAATCCTTCAGTACCATCTTGCTTCAACACACGCCACCATTCCGGAGTTGACTGTTCTAACAGAGCGAGGACTTCACCTTTGGCAACGGACATACCGTTCCCATCGTACTTGTAGAGCATTCAATCTGTGGCACGGACACTCTTCTGTCTGAAAATCCCCCCATAAACACGCTGTGATAGCTAAAGTATCACTCATAAAAACTTGAAACAAACCTCTTGGCTGCTTGTTGTCGCAGTATGGAAAGAACTATTGGCAAGTTGTTGGCTCATTTCTTCAAGTCGTACAATATCGGCTCTGAAAATGGTATGGACTATTTCTCCTAGTCTGACTTCAAGAGAGAGAGCCCACAATCAGTCTGAGCAACTCCTGACAGCTATCTCCAGTTCATAAGACAATTAGCACTGAGGGCTGACCTATAAGCATGGATTTCTTCCTCCAAACGAGCGTGCCTCTGCAGCAACGACTCTGCAGCCCCTTCATCACGACCAAGATCATCACTTTTCACCAGCGGCATTTTCTCACGGATCCACGACTCCGCCTCATTAGCATCCTAGGTAGAGACGATTATGTAAGAAAAGTAGTACATTACTCAGCAATAGAGGTTTGAGGCATACCTGGAAATATGCTGGGCCTGTTTTGCCTCGTTCAACCACTGACCAAGAGCTTGATGAGCGGCTCGAAGTCGTTCCCAACCCTGTTGCATCGCTTGAATACGACGCTAAAACGAATCATATATATTTGTTATTCCTACTTTATTGTGCTTTCGGGTGAATGGCATAATTCTTCACTCGGTTTTTCGAGGAAAGAAGAACAAAACGTATTCATCTGAAAAAGTTAGGAGAAGGAAAAACTAAGACGAGAAAAGTTTAACTTTCAATGAAAAATTGTTCCGAAATCTTCACCTGGATATCTTCGCGCGACTGTCCATTTTCTATCAGACGTTCTCCAGCGGCCATCATGTCTTTTGTTCGTGCCCAGTGAGACTGCATCTCGGTTTCAGTATTCTTAAATCACGCAGTGAAACTCCAAAGAACATTTGAAGCAAAACAACACCTTCAAATGCCATTTAAAAACAAACAGTGTTTGTATCGGACTCATTTCTAAATAACGACCAATACTAACAGAGAGAAATAAACTGTATCAGGTAATCTTCTAATGATGTAGGCCTGACATTACTCAACCAATAATTTGAACCCGACTATTGAGAATGGCTATTACAGAAGAAAGATAAAATACGAATCGAGAATTTCGCGATATTCTTCATTATACATTCTAGCGCCGAGTATTATTTCAAGCAGTCTTAAACACGCGCCACTCAAGCAATTTTAGAACGAGCATTGGCACAAGTCTTAGCCCGAATAATAATACTAATGAAAATTGGCAACCACATACCTTATAAAGAAGAGTCGTCTGCTGAACTGCCGCTACATCTCCGTTTGCAAGCGCTCGACGGCAAAGATGTTCTTTCTCAGAAAGCCACGACAGCTCTTCTTCATGATCTTGGACAAATTGGTACAGTGCACGAGCCTTGTCTAGGTTGAGGCGGCGTTGGCGGCATAGATCGACCAGCCTACAGCAAAAGAAAAATTGATATAAATTCGAAAATTACTGAACTATACTTTCTTGAATAAAGACAATGTGCTACGAGTAGTACTGCGCAGTAACATCATCGAGTTTCCTCTGCAAGACATCGTACTGCTCTCCTTTGTTTCGTATGTACTTATTAGCCTGATTAGTCACATTAGTGAGCCATGTTCCTTGAGCATTGACCTGAATATTAGCAACTCAGAAAACTAGAATAGGTCAGAATAACTTTCTGCATAAATGCGGAATGAAATTTTGAATAAATTTAAAATAAAAGCACAGACACACACACATACCTGAGGCTTCAACTAATTCATGTTTGCCGAGTAGATCCTCTACACCTAACAAGATGTTTGCCAACATCACGATTACGGACAACTGGCTAAAAGAAGAGCGATTAGGTGGCACACGAACGCATACATTTCAAGAACTGTGGTTGTAGTACTCACTTCTAGATGTTTGAGCTCACTAGCAAGAGTGTCAATGTCTCTCAAAAGCGTCATAAGGTCGTTCAAGCCCATCAAAGCCTTGCGGCGCTGTTCGAGTAGGCTCAACAAGTGCGTCCATCTAAACAAAATTTAATAGTAGGAGGTATTTCACTACTGCCATCCAAACTCATGCTGCTCTACCATTTTTCTAACGAGATCTAACTCACAGTAACAACCGATTAAACTCACCATCAGTTTATAATCGGATAACCTGTACAAAGCCATTTCATGATGGATCAAGGGTATTGAAGTTTTGAGGAATAATGAGGAGCAGGGCTTTCCATTATGAATTCAAACACACCAATTTATTATGGAGAAAGGCCACAAAAAGCACCGTTATAAGGTACATGTCCGCTGGCTCAATTCAAACCTTAGACAACCGAACTTTCCGTCCGTTCGGAGGAAAATTGTTACTACACTAGTTAAGATGGTCAAAATTTCACTGAAACATGGCTCGAGCTTCAGGACCTACTGCAAGTAAGAAAAGAAGCTTGAATTTCCATCACAACATTAAATGGAATCCGAGAGCGCAGCGCACTTCGGTGCGTCAGATTAACGCTGATCCTTCAGCTCTCATCCAGGTGCGACAATTCGATTGGCGACGCAAAGTGGGTATAACTTGATACCATCTTACTGCACTACTACACTTTACTTACTATACCTCAAAATATTTAGTTAACAATATGAAGATGAGCGGGAGGAGTAAAAAGTCAGAGACAGGGCAAATGGATACTGGTACTGGATGGGACAGGCAATTACATGGTTCTTAATTCTCTAGAGCCTGCCGATGCGACTTGCATAGGATGCCTGATGAGCAGCTTGACTGGAAGAGCCGAGCTACGAGAGTGAAATCGTTAACCGTTGCGACATTGTCCGGACTGAGCTTGTCAAAAGTTTGGCACAAAAGACCATCTTTGAATCTGTCCACCAAGCCCTCAACCACTGCTTCGCGAGCAAGCAAGCACTGTAGGCCTTCTTGAACTCACTGATGACATATGGCTTCACTTTCTGATGATGGTAAGGAGAGGCACAGAAAGCTTTATTTATCAATAAAGATGAAGATAAAGCATTCGGCGTTGATCAATCCCGTTTTGGGATGCGGCACGCATTCTACTTCCATTTACATTCGTAGTGGCAATTTGAATGCGATGTGGCCTATACAATGACTTGGGGGCCAGCCGATGTACAAGTCAGTTTTTTATCCTCCCAGACAAGTCTGGTACCAACTATCAAATCCGGAGAGGTGGAAGGTTTGGCTGACCCAGACCCAAGATTCAATTCTGGAACCGCGCGGGAAGTAAATAGCACAACTTTCCACTACACCACTTCCGCCAACTTATACATATCGTCATTAACTTCAAGGATACGCTCCAAAAGCACCTGATTTTTTTTTACCTCCTCTTGCTCCATTTCGAACCTGCACTGCGCAGAAGACAGGTGTTCGATTTTATTCCAAGAACTCACCTCTCAATTATATCTCGCTCGCGAGAACGGATCTTGTCGCTCTCGTGGTACTTCTCATTACATAAATCAGCACACATCGAGGTAAGCAATTTGAAGCGATTCTCCTAAATCTCCACGTTCAGACCACTTGCGCGAAAAGATATAGAGGCGACAGCCAACTAACCCTTGCTAGAATGTCGTTTGCAATAGCCTGTTGTTTTTTCAGCGACTTTTCCACCTCAGTGGCTGTTCTGCCGTGATCCATTTCTTCAAGAACTGCTTGCACGTTTCTCAGCCAGCTCTTAAACACCAAAATTAGTTCTTCGCAATTGCAGCTACACAAAGAAGTTCTAAAACAAACCTCTCGTAAATTAGCCTTTTTGTGGAAACGCTGCGCTAGCTGCTCTAAGCGTTCCTGCCTTCAAAGAAAACGTACGTATTCAATATGAAATCTTTTGCAGAAACTGCAATGAAAGCAAGACTCACCTCTGCAATTCAGCGATAATTGCTACTTGGCGGTCATTCTCTGCTCGATCCAACTTCTCCCAAGCCGATTCGACATCATACATGAATAAGCCTGAAATAAATTGTTAAACAAGAAGTTTTGAGGTTTGAGGTTCTGAAAACTCCAAGAATTCTGAACTACCTTGAGGAGGAGCATACTGTTTCCTTCCCATAGCTTTCCGCTTAGTTTGAATTGTGAAGAAAAGTGCCTCCAACTCTCCTTTCTCTTTGTACCTTGAAAGATCAGCCAATGAATTGCTGCGTGGGCAATGAATGCACTATTTTCGAGAAAATTAGGGTAAGAGTCACTCGCAATATATCGCAGTGAAATCATGTGAACCACACTACTTCTGACAATTTGACACTCCTGCTTATTGGGAGCGTTTCTCAACGGTGCGGAACTGATTGAACTTCCCCAGTTCTTCACGCATACCATGCAACGAATTCGGAAAACTGTAAGAAATTCATTTATTTGCCAGAAAAATACGGAATTGGAAGTGGCTGACCGTCTGTTTTCAAGTTGTTTTATCGTTTCGTAGATCCACTTTAATAGATCTGACGAAATGTGTTCATAGTCTTCTTCCATTGTATCGCTAGTGATTAGTTTTCCAACAATCTGCAATCGTGGTTAATATGCTTCCAGAGGTAAGTAAAGCAGAACAGAGCAAATAGAGTTGGCTACCCACGTTTGCCAACTCGAATATATGTGCCAGTCAGCTCCGTCTTCTGCTTCGCCGGAAATGATGGTAGATACAATGGGATACGTACTATGAGTAGAACTTCTCATCTGGACGAGCGGCGTCCACATCCTCAGCGTCAAGCAGACGCTGAAGTATCGGAATCAAAGGAGAACATTACAGCGTATAATCTGTCAGAATTTCCAGCAAGAACTCAGAGGGGACGTAAGCAATTACAACCTAAGAGCTTCATTAAAGCTAATGGCGGTAGGAAAAATGAAATCGCTTATAAATACGCACGTATAAGTTTTATGTGCTGATAAATTTCAAAATAGGCTTCACGGAATATGGAGTAAACAAGAGTGGCAACCTTTGTATTACACTTTATTTAAACACGTACCGCGATCTCCAACTTCTTCTCAGCAATGTCGAAGGCGTTGTTGAGATTGCCAATATGATCATTAGGGTTGAGTGCGTTGAAATTGATCAGCTCAGGTCTAAAAAAATAATAGGCCACCCATCACTAACCAGGAAAGCTGCTTTTCCTTGTCTCCCAAAGAACACTATGCTGTAAAATCGCAAACCTGTGAGCATGTATAAGCGCGTTGAACGCCAGACCGTTTCTCCAACTAGTCGTGAAGTTCTCCACCCTTACGTTAGGATAACCAGCAGTTTTTCGTTGGCACCACAACAGAAGGGCATCTTTGGCATGTTTGCGCTCTCCTCGTTCTTCCTCGTCCTAAACCAAACCAATTGAGAAGGACAAATTTCAAATCCATTATAAAGAACCTAATAACACCGTTTCTCTTTCAGAAACGACTGAAAACTACGCAAGTATTAAGCAAATGCGACTGAGCAAGTAAAGCCCCGCCTCTTTGCCCCGCGACTAAACTGATTTCCGATAAACGAGGAATTAAAATATCGAAACTTAATAAACACATGGTGCGGACTTGATATATGAAATAGACGGCGAAGTGGACGAAAACAAAGATTTAATCATTTATTGGAAACGTGGACAAGTCTACTTGTCTTAAATCACGGAAAAAATTCGAAAATATCCGAAGTAAGGATGCCGAGATTTTGGCATCAAAGAGTGTCAAAAAATCTCGGCGTGAAGAACCGCTGCTGGATCAAGAGAAACCCATCGAGAAAGATCTACTTCATGATGAATTTCTCTTCAATTCAATGGATGAAAACGGTTGTGGTGGTTTATGCGTACAGTTATTTGTTCAAATGTGTTTCTGGAGCGCTTGAACCATTTCGTTGCCTCTTCAAACATTAGTGCGAAAACTGATTCCAGCGAACCACCTACCTCAATGACAATCGTGTCAATTTGGAAACGGAGAATAATCGTCCAAATCAGACCAAGAATGAGTCGCTCATTGCGATCCAATATGTCTTCGGCTCCAATATTTTCCAGCTGAAAGAGTTGGTCTCGAAGAACAAAAATTAAGCACTCTCAATTAGAGCTTCTAGAACTTTTTCCAAATTCCAAAAAGCGCAGCCACTCGGCTTATTGAATGAACTTTACTTCGCCCTTATGAATCTACGAGGTTCCCTACTGCATTTCTTCCTCCTCGTATAGCTCGTGCCAGCCTTTTGCACAAACACACCAGCGTGCAGACGCAAATATGATTGACACCTACGACAACTCCAAATATCCTCCGGATAAGATTTGTAGAAGCAAATTCGTGAGCGATAGCACCCATTAGGCCCCTAATGATTTGCGCTTCAACCACACTTGGATGGAAAACACACCTGAATCTTCTTCTTCTTAAGGAAATCAAGAGACTTGTTGAGATTTTCGATTTTCTGCACCCGCATCCGGCCTCTTAATTAAACATTACTGGAACTTCAAGCATTGAAAACCAAAGATCAAAAATAAAAACATACCTATTGGGTTTCCCCAATTTCTCTCCGGAAATAATCTCGAGAAGTTTCATAAGTAACACACCATCGCCGAAATCGACAAAGAGGTCGACAACTTCCAATCTGGCCTAGAACCATATTTTAACAATTATAGCTTCAATGGTTCATCCAATATGGCATGATATTGTGGTGACATAATATCCTAGCAGCTAACAGTTAGAAGTTACAGCTAAAAAGCAGCTCCGAAAATCGTTTATTGAACAACGTCTCTCAGCTCGTTTTTCCTGTTTGACCCTCAAAAATGCTCTCTTTCTTTCCTTGTTCCTGTCAGTGGTGACCACACTATCGAATGGACGTGAGATAGCAATCGTCTCGAGTGTCTAAGTCGTGCTACGGACAGTCACTTACAAAACATCGAGCCAACAAAGCACCTTCCCTTGAGTCAACCCTTGCAACCGAATAAAAAACACACCATATATCAACATATTAGATCTTATATTAGATTAGATGAATACTATTGGTAGACTAAAGTGAACATCATCTTGTAAACCCACTAATGTGAAGGAGTCGAAGCCCTTCTTTTTTAACTCATGAAGCCCTTAGTTAATTACCGTGAAATTCTAAATGAACTCATGTAACATCAAATTAGCATTCAGAAACAACTTTCCTACACTTTTCCACCGCCACCACCACTTATGAGAAGACAAAAGGACAATGCATTCAATGATGATCAATCCCGCGCTTAGGGTACCAGCTCTGGGGGTACCCCAGGAGGCCCGTCGCGCGGCAAGAAGGCAAAGTCAGCGGACGAGTCGCGCGCGTACTATAGGGATTTCGCGTCAAGTTAAATAGAGTGTCCCACTGCACGTCCTACATCGCACACCACGCGCTGCAACTCGTCCGCCGACTCTGCCTTCTTGCCGCGCGACGGGCCTCCTGGGGGTACCCACCAGCCACATAACAAAAAAGGGGAGAGAGCGCCTCAGTTCGGCTAATAGGATTTTTGAACAGGGATTAACCGCGGAGCCGCTGCACTTCGGTTAAACGCCTCTTGGCCTCTACAACGATCTGTCGCTTTAGCGCCGATTGATTCTTGCAAATTGCCTTCTTACTCTTCAGATTAACCTTCGGCTAACCTGACAAGATTCCTTATTTCGAATCACTAGCCGAACAGCAACTGTAGTTCCGCTTTAACTCAACTCGCCAGCTTTTTTTTGGCTTTATCCAGTCATAGAGTAGTTTCTTTGGAGATGCGAACTGATAAAAGCCATCCATAATGAACAATCTTGGCAACTAAGTCAATGGACGTAGCCTCAAAATATCGTACTGGAGAGCCCATGGAAATTTGACTCGTATCACAACCACTAATTTTTACCAAACATCACGCGGATAATGAAATGATTTCCACACGAAGTGATCGGAGGAATACGGGCTAGCAGCTCGTTTCAAGAGAGTGAGCCATCAATGCTAAAATGATGATTAGAAATTTTGTATTTTATTTTGTTGCCGCCGGTAGAGTGCTGAGCATTCTTTCAACAATAACGGCAATCCATGACAATACACAGGGTCGAATTTCTTTCAATCATTATCGCAGCAGCGACGTGACTACATAATGACGTCGTCAAATTGATACGTAGTGGACTCACGAAATTTCACCACCAATTCTTTCATTTCCTCAAGCGGAACAGCGGTATGTTTTTAGAAAACCCCATATATACGGTATAAAATAATCTTCGTACGAATTTCTAAAATTCGAGCACGGTAGAGAGCTGCTATGTCTTAGCACGCATTGTAGTGAATTAATGTGAAGCTCCTTCTATGTTTATTGGCGAGTTTCCAGCATCAATGCCTTTTTCACCATAAAATTTACAAACATGCATGACCTGATCCACTGGAGCAGTCAGGAAACTCCTTTCCCTCAAAAATGACTCTTCTTTTTCCATCTCTACCACGGCGTCGATAAATTCGCTTCGTCTTTTCCCGCCTCCGATATTGGTGATAATTAGTGTACGATGTTCATTGTACGGTCCATATCTCGAAGTTTGATTGGGTGTGTCACCGGAAATAACGTGGCGTCCGCCGCACTTGATAGTAGTCGCGCGGATAAGCTGTTTCTAACAAATTTGCTGGATATCAGGAAAGCATGCTGGAAGCGACTACTCCGCGCAACTTCTATCAAGTGCGGGTGGGCGTCGTCATATCCGGTGAAACGCGCAATCAGACTTCGAGATGTGGACGGTATGTTAGTTGCTCGTTCGCTCGAACTAAGCATGACTATCCAAGTCCTTGAATAAATAAACATTTGCAAGCTTCTATGTTCAAGAGGAAATGATTTTAAGGATCATTTAAATGAACTGGTCGAACAGTGAACCCCTCTAATTACAGCTTCAGGCATCCCAATGTCTGATTAAGCTGATCAGCGCTGACTCCAGACCAAAATCCACCCATTTTTGGAGACCAGCTGGGTGAGACCCTCAAGTGACGTATGCATATGCAATGCGTGTGGCGGCATATAATAAGGCCACAGAAGGTATGCGCAGTCCGCCAAAAATGTCCCACTCTATCTGGACATATCGCTGGCGTCATCTACGACTGCAAAAGGCCGTCCTGACGCCTTATCCACGCCTCGGCGAACTAATAAACATCCGCACAAATAATCCAAATGGGCTGAGAAACAATCGACATTGACATCGGGGGGAATTCCTGAACGAGTTAAGGCCTATTACAGCTATATGGGAATGACTGCCACTTCCATTCAACACCATAAGTGTACAGCTTGGATTTGAAATTGCTAAGATGATCCCCATTGCTGAACATTAGATCAACCCACTAACACCTTTGACTCCATCTCACCAGCTACTTACCCATATCTCGCATTTCGCAGTGCTTCGCTATGATTTTCAGGCATTTAGCACTTGAAGAACAAGAAGTATACCTGCTCTGTCTACGAAGATCACAAATTAGCAAAAGCCTAACCATAGAAATGCGCGAATGTGAGGCTAACAGGGCGCATGCGAAAACGAAAAAAGAGAAGTGCTTACTATGCGACAGCGGAGTCAGTTACGATTTCTGTGATTACTTATTTGTCACTATCATTTATCACTTTAAAAAGCCCTTCTTAACGTGCAATTCATCCGCCATGATGGAGACAACTAAAGGACTAGCTACGAGCCAACCTCGTTCAGCTGTGTGTCAGCAAAGTAGAAATAACTGGTACTCGAACAAAACTACCTTGATTATGAGGGAAGATTAATCACAGGAGATCCGTATCCTCACGAACCTACACTTGCCCACATTATTGTCAAGTGCCTGAACTTCATATATTTTTTAAGGCCATTCTCGAAAAAACGCTGCACATATCAGAAGCACCTTATTATAGCGAAGTTCATCGCCAAAACTACCATCTGGAGCGGTGCAGCTCTCTCTCACGTTTACTCAGATTCACAATCACTGAAAAAATCACTAATCTCAATCACAGAGTCAATAGAGAAAGAGTAGTCGCAACAGCTGCTTCAAACCCCTGTAAGGGTTTACGACGTCCATGGAGTCAAAAAGGACATATTTGGAGAAAGTTATCGTGATGCATTGGGTTTCTCTACAGCTCTAAAAGCTCCCCTGGCAAATAGTAAACAGCGAAGAAATTTACCCACAGAAAAAACCTTGCTGGCTTTCTTAAATAAAATAATTGCATCCGGAAATACTCACCCGATTCAGAAAGGAGTTGCACCACTTCGTGAATGTCTTCTTTTGGATATGAACACGCTCATCTTGTAGTTGTTTGATACGATTACGCTCGAAAAATAGCGTTTCATTGGCGAGATCGTCGTCATCCTGTCCAGGACTTGGCGCGGCGCCAGCAGGTGCTCCATTGACGTGCGGTACGCGCACCTGAAAATATTGAGCTTCACAACGGAGTTAAGCGCTCATTACTTTGTTATGTTTTGATTATTTGGAATGCGAAACAAAAGAAAACCAGAATCTCGATCTCCCAGAGTAGTTTCGTAGTCTTGACAGAAAAAATGACAAAGAAGACGAGTCATTCGTTTTCAAAGATGCTCTTTGCAACTTCAAGAACTTCTATCTGAATGGTTCGATAGTTCCCATTCCCCTTTTCGTAGGACAAACACAACGCACCACTCTTAGCATACGGGGCGATTCGCCGAAATTCGATATGGAGTGAATCATACCTAATCGGCTTAAACAAATGTGCATGGAAAAAGCGTATCACCAAAATTCGTAAACGCTAAGCTGCAACAGAAAGAGGGTAAACACATAAACTATCTGAATCTGGTATGAGCTCAAGTGATCTACATTTACAACGAAAACATACACGGGTGCAATTATGAACTGTTCAAATGCGACTATGATACGGAATCACTCGATCTGGATGAATACAATCTCCTATCGCACTGCGTATATTTATAAATTTGCAATCCCGAATTATTTAAACAATCCCTAGGAGTTCTATGTAATCACCGTGGGGCATGGATCCATGCCACTTTCAAATGCAGTAGTACGCCTGGTCGACGAATATCGACTACTACTTTGAAAAGCTAAGTTTTGAATAGATATATCGGCAAACGATAGATGACCGTCGCAAACGCCGCCTTCGATCAAAGAGGGAAGGCTAATCGGGACCAGATAAAGCCTGCCTCCGAACCGTGAACGCTTCGACAGCGATCATTCTTGTGCAACAAGGAGCCACTTCAAAGAACACCCTTCTTATCGGAACAATTTTACTATGAAAGATCTCATTTTTTTTCTCATATAAAAAATCTCATTTTGACCAGTGAGCGATCTCATTAACCCTAATCCTCAATTTAGCGCTTGACACTTCGACTATGTTTTACGACCGTGTGATGTCGCTGTAGATAGCTAGATCAATAGAGGAAACAAAACAAAAGTTCTAGTGGTTGTAATCCAAACGTATACATCAAGGTTCGAAATGACGATACTCCAACTTGGACTGCATGGTTATTTATACCACATCACTTCTGACGATTATTTTCAATTTTCAATGAGCAAATTTACTGTGCTCTGACAACAATATCCATGTTGGTCGCCGCATATCAAGATTTATGTATATTTGACTGTACTTCACTTTTAGAAATGTATGGACCTTATTCTTCAATTCTCTTAATAACCTATCCAAGCATACATTAAGAAGAAATAAGGTGAACATGTCAGTTTCTGACACATTCGTTGTACCGAGTGGTTAAGTAGGGAACGGGAAGGATGACTTTTAAGGTCAACGCAAGTGAAAATGCCACCTATCAAGAATCAGCCATTCTGCGCCGCGAACTTTCTTCGCAGCCTAACACGCAGGACTGAAAACGACAATTATTCTATATGCTAACCTTTTGAAGAACACTTCCCACATTTTTCGGAATAATGAAATGAAAAAAAAAATTCATTTTTACATAGAGACGTCTGTTCTAGGGAATTGCACACTCTAGGGAACAGGAGATTGCACATTACATTGTAACAGCCGACTGTATAGGAAGGTAACACTTGCTCATGGCAAGCTGTATAAAACCACTTATTTGCGGGCTCTTTCATCTAACGAAAGCTATCCTCAGTTTTGCTCAAGGTCTACTCCATAAACGCAATTCAAATTGATAACCTGAAATAGGAAATAGCAGTTCCATCAGACGAAAAGTTATTTCAACAGACATTACTCATGAATTTGACCTAACTCGGCACAACTTTGCTAGATTACCCATGAAGCCGTTTCAAAGAACAATTCCTGAATGAGCATAAAGGCTAAACTACCATAGCCCCTCATGACGACGGTGTAAATACGCCAAGCATTCGGGCAAACAAGACTAAAAAACCGCATACACTTAGGGGAAACTGTTTCCTGTGAACATTATTGCACTGCATACTTGAGAGATATCCGAACACTACACACATTAGAAACAGGATTAGGGTCACAGCATTTGAAGTAGGAAATTCAACTCTTCATGAAAACTACCTCTTGCTCTTATGTGCAATGAAAAATCACCTCGAATAAATTGAAGAAAAAGCTGTCCACTCACCCTTACTTCATACTGCGGCATGGTTTCTTTCGATTGCAACTCGTCGAAATTAATCTTACTCCGACTAGAAGAAATCTCACCGCGCCAGCCTCGGGTTTCGTCTGAAAAAGTCATGATATATATATAGCTGAACGTATTGACGCTTTCAATGCACATTTTCTGACGCAGACTCCTTACATAGAAACAAATGAAAGCACACGCTCAAGGAATTTCCATCTCACAATAAAAATGAAACGGCGAGAGATTTATAAACAAAAAATATATTTCGAATACCTTCGAGGTCTCTAACAGTCTTGCCCTCGCCGGGCGAATAGATTGCAGCTGAATATACGAACGACATCGTTTAATGACACATCGCCCAGTGCAGAATTCAACAATACTAGCGGTCAGTAAGTAGCCAGGTCAGTTCCCGTCAATGTCACCCAGCGGAAGATATGATGACGCTGTGTGCGTGTGCTGACAGATAGAGTATAGTTAAGAGAGGGGCGGAGAAGAGCTGGACGGGTCAAGGCGATCGCTGCGACGGCGGCAGTCAAGACGACAACGACGACGCAATACCGCCGACGAACGCCTCCGATTGCACTGACGCTGCGCACCTCTCGCTACCACGAATTAAGACGGATTACGACTCTGGACTGCAACAGGAAGATTCGCTCCCAGATTTGCGCGAACTCTTCCGGCGCCTCTAAAGTTCACCACAAGGGCTTTAAATACAATCAACTGAGGAGAGCTTATTTCGCGAATACGTTTCGGAGCGTTCTCTAGTAATAATAAAGATATACAGGGTTCTGCAAGTTTCGAGGAAATTTTGCAAGCTTTTACTTTAAAACTGCCGCTTCGCCTTTTTTCCTTATGCTTTACTGGGTCATTACACAAGCAATAAGCGTTCTCTATTATGCACTTAAACAATGAATGAAAAGAAGGGATGAGAAACATGCATCCGGTTCATGATAGGGTTTGAAAGGTAACCTTCCCGATACTCATGAAGACTCGAACTGAAAGGACAACTTTCTGAATTTTCAGCACCAAAACAGAAATAAGGAAAGGGTATATGTGGCATTTCACGCTAGACAATAGCAAAAAGGAAAGCAGGAACGCGGAAACAGTCAGGAAATGAAAGAAGACGTGATAAATGCGAGTCAATGCGAACGATGGTTCCAGAAATTTTGTTCCAGAGATTAGCTTAAGAGATACGCAACATTGTGGAAGGCCTGCTGAGCTTGATAAGATTCTCTGATGAAAAAAAAATTCCAAAGCAACCATTGAGGAATTAGTCAATATAAATTTCGCGATTCTCAAACCCATATGAACAACATAAAAACGAGTTCTGTGGACCAGGTTCGAATGGTGGAGGGAAGTTATTTCCGTAGCAGAAAACAATGCACACGAGGCACTAAAACATTTGCAGAGAAAGGAAAGAAAACAAGTTGGGGATTCCAGTTAGGGGGGGGCATCATGATGCAGTTTTCCAGAAAGCTAGGGTAACTCCGAGCCAGGGGGAGTGTAGCCAGTCTAGGGGGTGGGGGTGAGGGCAGTCACTTGACATGCGTGAAAAGCTGGAATGTTCGAGTTCACACTAGTTCGCCGAGAAACTGCATCATGATGCCCCCCCCTAACTGGAATAGACCCCTAGTTGTAGATAACGTAAACAGATACGTGAATGAATTGCAGCGATGGTAACGAAACAATGTCCTTATCACAAGAACAGATTGATATTGACACGAAATGTGTATGAAGAACTCATGAAAACACCCAATAGTGTCGGATAACTCAATATTTGGACCTCCACAACAAGAATGAGAGTAAAGCCACATAAAACAGAGATTTCCAAATTGCCCTTCTAACTTCAAACGGTCCTGTTTATGTACGACAAAGAACAAAAATAAACGTCACGTTAATGACGGTGAAGAAACTGCTAATAGGATTTTCTAACCCACTCACAAGACAGATGTTTCTGCGAGTTATAATTGGGTTACATTCCGATATCTGCCCACTTTATTCCAGCGAAAGGAATGTTAAAGGAACCAAAAGCCGAAAAGCAGGCCACGCACTGATGCTCCCAAAGGAAGCATCATGTCATGCAAAAATGGACGAACTTCCGTTGGCGCCAATTTTG